TAAGAAGCACCACATTACCTCCAGACATAAAGGTCTGTTTTGCAGCAGTGGCAGTGGGGGAGAGGGAGGGGGAGGGGGGGGAGAAGCCCCCCCAAAAAAACTCTTCCCCCCCACCACCACCAAACCCCCCCCCCCCACCCCCACCCAAACAAAAATGACAGTGATACAGAGAAAGTGTTGCCTCTCTTTAACACAGAGTTTCTGAATGTCTCTGTCACAGTTTGTTCCCTCGAAACTATGTTTGGGGTAAAAAGTCAAATAAAACTTGTTTGAATTCCCCTTTCTTTGGGGGGAAACGACAGGGGGGGATGCGGGGGTGTGGGTGAAGGTATCACCGGTTGGGAGGGGTGGGGTGGGGGGGTGGGGTGGGGGTTGTGAAGGATGGATAATTGTTTTTGAAAGTACTTTGAATTGTTGTTGTTGGTGGGGAGGGGGTGGGGGTGGGGAGGGGGTGGGGAGGGGATTTTTTTTTCTTTTCTCTTAAAAACACTAACTGCTGAGATCTATTTGGTTCAATTATTTTTGTGTGTGTGTGTGGGGGAGGGGGGGGTGGGGGGGAAGTGGGGTGGAGGGGGTTGTGGGGTGGGGGGGGGTGATCTCAGGGGGGAGAGAGGGGAACTGAGGCAAAGGATGGATTCTGTGCAGCTAATTCTGATTTTTTTCTTTGCTTTGGAGTTACGCAGAGGAACCACTTCAGAGTGTGTGTGTGTGCGTTGGGATCACTTCCACACTGTTCTTAACTCTTTAACCATAACTTTTTATCCTGGACAACTTTTGTTTTAAACCCCTTTTTTCCCCCCCCCACCACCCCTTGCACCCACGCACCCACCCACACCCCCACCCACCCCTTGCACCCACGCACCCACCCACACCCACACCCCCACCCACCCCTTGCACCCACGCACCCACCCACCCACCCACGCACCCACGCACCACCACACCCACCCACCCACCCCCACCCACCACCCACGCACCCCCACCCTTGCACCCACGCACCCACCCACCACCCACCCACCCCACCCCCACCCACCCCACCACCCACGCACCCACCCCCACCCACGCACCCACCCACCCACCCACCCCTGCACCCACGCACCCACCCACACCCACCCCCCACCCACCCCTTGCACCCACGCACCCACCCACACCCCCACCCACCCACGCACCCGCCCACCCACCCACCCACACCCACCCCACCCCACCCACCCCTGCACCCACGCACCCACCCACACCCACACCCCACCCCCACCCACCCTTGCACCCACGCACCCACCCACACCCCACCCACACCCCCACCCACCCCCGCACCACGCACCCACCCACACCCACACCCCACCCACCCCTTGCACCCACGCACCCACACCCCCACCCACCCCTTGCACCCACGCACCCACCCACACCTCCACCCACACCCCCACCCACCCCTTTGCACCCACGCACCCACTCGTATGGGCGCTCACCATCGCGCGCAAAAAAAAAATTTGCAAGTATTCCCATTTTTTTAAAAGGACTGAACTGTCTTATTGTGATATGAATTAATTGCAACTGCAGCTTTTTATTATATTTTTAAAAAAAGGTACGAAAATTGTCTCTGGAAGTCGGAATCTGCAGCTCCACACAGTTTGAAGTGGTTTTATCTGCAAAGGGACCGAGGGAGGGAAAAAAATACAATTAATATACTCTTCTTCTTCTGATTCTCATTATGAGTGGAAAGTCAGAAAAAAATTCTCCTTTTTTTTACGCCTATTAATATTACTATTATTAATATTACTATTATTAATATTACTATTATTACTATTATTACTATTATTAATATTACTATTATTATTACTATTATTAATATTACCATTATTATTACTATTATTAATATTACTATTATTATTACTATTATTATTACTATTATTATTACTATTATTATTACTACTATTATTATTAATATTATTAATATTACTATTATTATGATTGGAGAAATGAAAAAAAAAGCTTCTCCCCTCCCCCCACCCCCCCCACCCCCCCCCCCCCCCCCTCCACCCCCCCGTGGAGATGATTAATTCCTATTGGGAGAGAGAGAATTTTGGTGGGGATTTTTTTTTAAAAAAAAACCATAAATAAGTCGGGATATATTTACGATGACAAATAAGTCTGGCGGTGGAGGCGAAGTTGCAGCTCAGGGTGTGTGTGAAATGTATATGTCAGTGTTTTGGGAGTGATGTTCTCTGTGGATGAGCAAATGGGTACCGATTTCGCTCACTGTTTGTAAATATCCCAATCCATTCCTTACAGCTAAAAGCTCAAACTCTGGCAGATCGCTGCATTCCTCTCTCACATGGACTCGGCAGTTCACCTTCTCATTCACTCCCCTCATAGTCATCTCTCACATAATACACTCATAGGAGTTAAGAGCATCTCTCGCTCTCACTTTCTTTCTATGTCGCTCTCTCTGTCTCTCTCTATCTCTCTCTCTCTCTCTCTTGTTCCTGCTCTCCTTTCCCCCTCCCCACACCTCCCTCCCTCCCCTCCCTCTCCCTCTCCCCCCCACCCACCCACCCCCACCCCCCCACCCACCAGTCCCCTTTTACCTCCTCAAAGCAGCGTTAAATCGGTGTACAGTGAGACCTTAATAAAGAGATAAAAAGATAAAAGAGACGATTTGATTTTAATAGCAGCAAAAAAAAACCACAACAGATAACCAATAATGACTTAAAGGAATAAGGATTAGATTTGTAGATACGAAAACCCATCCCCCCCCCCCCCCCCCTCCCCATTAAAAAAAAAGTTTAACACATGTACAGATTTTTTTTCTAATACCTTAACTATTTCAAAAGCAAACTGCGTTGCTGAAACGTTTAGTTTCACTGTTGTGTGTGAATTTTATCAGTGTATATGTCTTGTGTTGCATTCTTCCCCCCCCCCCTCCTCACCCCCACCTGACTCCCACCACCCCCCAATCCCCCCCCCCTCCTCCCCCCCCACACAACCCCTCCTCACCCCCACCTGACTCCCACCACCCCCCCAATCCCCCCCCCCTCCTCCTCCCCCCACTCCCAACCTGACTCACCACCCCCCAATCCCCCCCCTCCTCCTCCCCCCCCACACAACCCCCTCCTCACCCCCACCTGACTCCCACCACCCCCCCAATCCCCCCCTCTCCTCCTCCCCCCCCACACAACCCCCTCCTCACCCCCACCTGACTCCCACCACCCCCCCAATCCCCCCCCTCCTCCTCCCCCCCCCCCACACAACCCCCTCCTCACCCCCACCTGACTCCCACCACCCCCCCCAATCCCCCCCCCTCCTCCCCCCCACCCCACACAACCCCCTCCTCACCCCCACTTGCCCACCACCCCCCCAATCCCAATTCCCCCCCCCACTCCCAACCCCTCCCTCCCCAACCCCCGTACCTCAAAGACAACTCTTTCTAACCTATCTTGTCAGCAAGCAAAAAAAAAACAAAAATAATTTGCTTTTTTTTATATCGCTAAAAATACAAAAAAGAGACAAACTTAAAAAAAAATATTAAAAAAAATAGAGACTAATTACGTTAGTTATGACAGAATATTCTTACACAACCTTCTTTTTTTTGTGAATTATTTTCCTCACGCTAAAATCATGTGGGCAATTTACTGATGTAAGTTGACTAAAATTCCGTGATTATATATATATCTTTCTCTCGTACTATATTACAGGCTGTAATGCATTTTTTTTTCGAAGTGCTCTAATTGGTTTCTTAAAAGTAGCTTTTTTTTCGAATTTTTTTTCCCTCTCTCTAACCTTTCTCTCTTTTTTTTTTGCACTAACTGTACCGAAAGCTTTTTTTTCTTAATTCTTATTGTTATCGATTAATTTAACAAAACGATGGATGTTTTAAATAATCTCGTGGATGTTATAAAAGTAAGGATTGCTCTCATCTTTTTCTGCGTGACTTTTTTTTTAAGTGGTTTGAGTATTCTTTTTCCTCTGCTTTTTATTATTTTTTTACGCCGTTCAGCTAAACAATCTATCTACTATCTTTGTCGTGTGACTTGCTTACTTAAATATATATATATATATACAGTAAACTCCTGATAACTTGACCCTGGCTTAACTAGTCACAATCGCTTCAGTCATATTCCAGCCAATACATTTGGATCTGGGTTCGATTCCCGGGCAGGGGGCGAAACACTGGGCAAGTTTCCTTACTCCACGCGCCTCTGTTTACCTGCAGTAAGTAGGAACCCGGTTGTGAGTCGCTTTTCCGGAGGTAGTAATCCCTTCAAAAACAAATTAACAATAATAATAGATTGGTCACTCAATCCACGACTGTTGACTCAATCCACTGTACGCAATTAATTGGCCGCCCACAAAATATACAGACAACTCACTTAACAGTATATCCTGTGAAGCGCTTTGAGACGTCTCGAAGATGTGATAAGGCGCTGTATCGAATGCGAGGATTATTATTAATTATTTACTTATTTATTTATACATTGCCACACAGCCTATCTCACCGCTCCTGATAACTCGTCACCGGGACCCCTTTTTCCCGGCCCCCCCCCCGCCGTCAGAGTGACGAGTTATCAGGCGTTTACTGTATATCTCTCTAGAGAAGAAGAAGAAAAAAAAAACCTTTTTATTTCGCTAACCTCTCTTTTCTTTCTCTTTCTTTCTCTCTCTCTCTCTCTCTCTCTCTCTCTCGCTTACTTGGCTTTGGATTTCAGGAGGTGAATTAGTTTACCCTGTAATTGCGGAAGACCCCATAGATTCCCCCCTTGTCACAACTCCAGCACCTTTCATCCCCTTCCTCCCCACCTTCCGACCTCTTCTGACCATTATTGAAAGCACCAAAGATAGCCTGTCCGTGCTCCCCGAGGTGGGGTTGCCTTGCCTGTCGGAACAAGACAACGATGATTGTGGCGATGGCGCCCTGGTGATATCTGGTTATGGCTCGGGGGAAGCATTTGACTCTAACCTCCCCCCTACTGATGACGAAGATTTTTACACCAACTTGTCCTTGGTAACAGATAAGACCATATCCACATCGTCCTTCGAAGGTGGCTACAAAGCTCACGCGCCCAAGTGGGAATCCAAGGACTTTAATCCCAGCGAGGCATCTGAATCCGGTAGGACCTCGAGCGCAGCTTTGCCCACACAGTTGCTGAGCTCCACCATGTCACAGCCCGTCACCCCCCCCAAACTGCCTGCAGGTAAACTCAATACTCGCGAGCAGATGCCCCAGCCAGATATAGTCCTGCTCCCGTTGCCCACTGCTTATGAGGTAGACAGCACCAAAGTGAAGAGCCCGCTCGTAACCTCACCCGTATTCCATAATGTACCTACAGCAAACCCCACGGAGACGGGCATCAAAAGGGTCCCAGGGGCGTCTGAGGTGGTCCGCGAGTCCAGCAGCACCACGGGGATGGTCGTGGGCATAGTAGCGGCTGCTGCTCTGTGCATCCTAATCCTCCTGTATGCTATGTACAAATACCGCAATAGAGACGAAGGCTCCTATCAGGTAGACGAGACGCGAAACTACATCAGCAACTCGGCCCAGACCAACGGGGCGCTGGTCAAGGGCAAGGGCGAGCCGCCCGGCGCCGGCAAGGGCGGCAGCGGCAAGAAACACAAGAACAAGGAGAAGGAGTATTACGTGTAACGCTTTTCCACAGACTGGACATGTCCGCCGCCACTGTGCGTGCGCGTGTGTGTGTATAACGTGCGGAGGAAAGGGCAGAGGGGGAGGAGGGCAGACGGCGGCAACGACGACGACTTGCATTTGCATGGACGATTACGCTGGGGGCGAGTCCCAGGAGCGCCCTCAACACCCCCTCCACCCACCACCCACTCCACCACCCACCACCTCACGCACTGGAGGAGGAGAATATTTTGAACAAAAGTGGTGGGGGCGCGGGGCGGCGGTGGTGGGGGTGAATTATATATATATTTAAACACACACGAACGGATAAACGGACAGCGTGAGCGCACGGCGATGAGGAGAGAGAGAGAGAGAGAGAGAGACGAACAATGAAATGGACTCCCCATCCGTCCAGGAAGAGAAGATTCAGCGAACTTGGGGAAACACACGTCCCCTCACACCCTCCCTCCCCCTCCCTCGCAGCTTCCCTCTCTCCCTCCGCTCGCCCGCTGGACGCGTGCGAACGCACTCCGAAACACGAGGAAAAGTTCACTCCACCAAACCCCACCCCACCACCCACCCACCCACCAAACCCCACCCCTCTCACACACTCGCTCGAGAGAAAAAAAGAAAACGTTTTAAGAAAAAAAAACACAAAAAGAGACAAACTATGTTGGGGGCGAGAGAGAGAGAGAAAAAAAAATCACGAGCCTGGGAGACACGAGGACTTGTGGCGGGTCGTTAGTGCAATGCACGACGGCTTTTAACGCGCGTGTGTGACTGCACAACACCGAACCCGTTCCCAACTCTGCTCCGTGGAATCATTTCCGAGGCTGTAATCGTTTCTTTTTCCTCCCCCCGCCCCGCACCCCCCTCCCCCGCAAGCGACTGTTAATACGACAAGCTCTTGTAACGCCGTCGATGATGCATATTTTTATTTTCCTTTTTGGGGACTTTATAATAATAATCCTTGCATTTGATATAGCGCTTTTCACGTCGGGAGGACGTCCCAAAGCGCTTCACAGAACACACTGTAAAGTGAATTGACTGTATATTTGTGGGCGAACGCGGCAGCCAATTGCGCACAGCAATGTCCCACAAACAGTCGTGGATTGAAAATGACCAATTTATTATTGTTTTTGGTTTTGGAGGGATTATTATTAGGCTCTGTGTGGAGTAAGGAAACTTGCCCAAGGTTTGGCCCTGACCTCCCGGGGATTGAACCCAGGTCTCTCGCTCGCAAAGCGAGTGCTCTAACCACTGAGTTACAGGACTCCACTTTCTTTTGGTTACCGCAGTAAAACTTAAAAACTTTGCCATGTGTGAAGCATGTTACTGACACGTATAGGAGCCGGTATAATACATGTGTTTTTGTGTGTGTGTGTGTGTGCGTGTATGTGTGTGCGTGTGGGTGGTCGGGGGGAGTGGGGTGGGGTGGGGAGGAAGGAGAGAGAGGGAGAGGGAGAGAGGGGGAAGAGGGTGGGGGTTTGGGTGAGAAATGGGATTACACCTTCCAAGCAAAACCGAACAAAACCCATCCACACACCTCCTTTCCCTCTCTCCCTCTCTCTCTCTCTCTCTCTCTCTCTCCCTCCCTCCCTCCATCCCTTCCCCCCCTCCCAGATGGGATTTATGCCATCCTCTTGATATTATTTGCTGCCTCCCCTGAAAAAAAAAGATGTATTAAGTATACCGACATTTAAAACAGAGACATTATATATATATATATACAGTATATCTTATCTAAGTGAACTAAAAACTAGAGGGTGGGGGGGGACGGGAGGACGTTTTCGGAGGAAGAGGAGATTGGGGAGAGGAGGAAATCAATTTGGGAGATATCGCTCTGTTTTGTTTCGGTTTAAAGCTGTTTTTAACCGTGCGACACGTTATGTACCTTCGGGCTGTGTAAGGCTGCGCGCGCGCGTGTGTGTGTGTGAGAGCGCGTGTGTATGTATGTGGGTGGTAATAACACAGCGATGATGACTATGTTTCGGAGTTTCAGTGGATGGATTTGATGCATGCACAAAAGGAACAGAAAAATTGTTAATAAAAATGATAAAAGAGGGAGAGACACATCATATCGCTGTTTATGGTGTTCGGTTTTGCTGGCGTAAAAAAGATTGACCAACCAACCAACCGTCTAACAAACTGACTGACTGACTAACTATTACCTGGCCAAATTTACGAGATAACGTTTTCACTTTTGTATTTCCCATCTCTTTTTTTTTATTTGAGAGAAAATAAGAAGTTGTTTGGGTTTTTTTTTCCCCACTCCTCCTCCTCCTCCTCCTCCTTCGTTGTTTTAAACGTTGCTTTATTGTTGGCTTCTACGGACTTTGTTTTTTTTTATTCCTCTGCTTTTTGGTATGAATTGATTGCGTGTCTGTCCCCCTCCCCTCTGCTCTCAACTTTTCCGCCTCACCTCTCTCTCTCTCTCTCTCTCTCTCTATCTCTCTTTCTCCTCTCTTCCCCACTCTCTTCTCTCTCCCTCTCTCCTATCACTTCTTCCTCCTTTCCCTCTCTCCCACCCACTCTCCCTCAACTCTCCCCCATCCGCCTTTCCTCCTTCCAACCTCCTCTCTATCTCTCTCTTCCCTTCCTCTCTTCCCCCCCCACCCCTCCACCTCTCCCCCCACCTTGACTAACAACCGCGCAGTGTTGAGACTGAACATTAAGTGCTGGCAGGAGGCGACTGCAGAAAAACACTGTTATTAAAGTCATTCAAAAAGAAAAAAAAAGAACAAAAAAAATGTGAAAATGTGAACTTTTTCTGTCGTCACAGTCAACTGTGTCAAAAGATTTGTTTACATATTTTATTACATTATAAAAGCTTGTGTACTTTGTAGGTAGTCTATTGTACATAAACATTCAGTTGTAATCTTTTTTGGTATTTAATTGTACAGTATAAATCTCTTTTAAGTTCTGCAATGTCTTTCATGTGGAGATACGAGGCTGAACCTGATTTGAGAACAAACCAAGTAAAAACAACCAACAAAAAAATGTACATTTTTTTTTGTAAAGTTGAATTGCTGTCATTTAGGTTTTAGACTTCTCTGGGTCTCTCTCTCTCTCTCTCTCTCGAGGTCTCTCTCTCTCTCTTGAGGTCTCTCTCTCTCTCTCTTGAGGTCTCTCTCTCTCTCTCTAGTGTTTCTAAAACGCATGAATATTTGCATTTTAAAACATGATCATCGTCAAATATAAGATACCCTTCTTAATCCTTGCAAGGTTTCTTGGCTATTGTTATTTTTTAACGTAACTTTAACCTTAAAAGAAATGCCGCAGGTTCTGAAGGTATCAAAGCATGAGATAATAGGAGATTGTTCCCCACCCCTCCCACCACCTGATATAATAATCCTTGCATTTGATATAGCCCCTTATCATCTCATTGAGACGTCTCAAAGCTCTTCACAAGATATACTGTAAAGTGAATTGACTTATTATTTTGTGGGCGTAACGGGGCAGCCAATTGCGCACAGCAGCGTATCTTGTTTCTTGGCGTTAAGGGTTGGTTTTGTGAACATATCTACTTTCTGGTATTTTATCCTTTTTTTTGCCAACATTTAACATTTTCGTTTACTCTATGACTTCCTCTCTCCGCTCCCCGCCCTCTCCCCTGACACGCCATCATTCCTGGATTTATAAAAGGTTGAAAAAAATATGTGCAAGATTGTATGTAGACAGTTATTTTTTACAATGTCATTTAATTCCCCCCCTCACCTCACAACGCCCCTCCGACGCCAATATTTATTTCGATGTGCGGACATTGACCTGTGATGTAAACTGCTATTCTCTGTCTATCCACCCATCCATTTATCCATCCATAATAATAATCCTAGCATTTGATACAGTGCCTTATCACATCGTTGAGACTCTAAAAACGCTTCACAGAATATATCATAAAGTGCATCGTCTTATTAGTGTGTGAAACGCGGCAGCCAATTGTTCACAGCAGTGTCCCGCACACAGTGCTGGATTGAGTGTCCAAATTTTTTGGGGAGGGATTATTACCCCCGGAAAGCGATCCGTCAATCGACTGACCACCAGTCAGTTCCTACTTACTGCTGGGTTGCGGAGTAAGGAAACTCGCCTAAGCTTTCGCCCTGCTAGGGAATCGAACACGAGTCCTCTCGCTTTCGAGGCGATTGCGCTAACCACTGAGCTACAGGACAAATCCATCCATCCTTCATCCATTTTTAAGTGAGTGAGTTTTTTGTTCACACAAGGATGTGCTTAGCCATAAAGTCTTCTTCCCACAAAGCTGCTGAACGTTGCTGTGTCTAACCTTTCGCCCCATGTTAAAGCCGTCTTTCAGGGTTCAGTCCATCTCTGGCTGGTCTCGTGCCGACGGTCACCTTGATTCCCACACGTGTCTCAGTGTCTCCCCATCGCCGGGAGATTCCTCTTCATCTCCACACAGGGGAGGCTCTTCTTAAACCGAGGCTTGAGGCTGGGGGTTATGGGGTTAGCAAACCCTCTGTCCCTGCTCTTGAAATCATCCTAATAATGCTTGATACAGCATCTTATCACGTCATCGATACGTCTCAAAGCGCTTCACAGGATACACTGTAAAGTGAATTGACTGTATATTTTGTGAATATCCTCACATTCACAACAATAACACACAGTCCAACACAGATTACTTTTATGCTTGTATGTATTCTAGCTTGTATGCAGAAAGATATCTTAGAAACCCTGAGAATGCTGAATGGGAGCATTCGTGTCTCCCCCCCCCTACCCCCGGCCCTCCCCCCGATGAGGGGGAGGGGAGAATGCTAACCTAAGAGGTAGGGTATGAACAAGGGGAGGGTAGGGAAGGAGTTGGATGCACTCTGGATTTCCAGAGAGTGAGGGCTGCCCATTGATGGTGGGGCGAGGGTAGGAGGGCTTAGGTGGATAGACATTTGTGAGGTCAAGGGTATCGAGGGATACAGACCAATGGCTGGTAATTGGATTGGGGGAGAGGGAGGGCTGGGATCAGAGTCTGATCAAACACGACTGATTGGGAAATTAGTGATTAGCTAAGGGAGCTGTGAATAATAATAATAATTCTTGCATTTGACATCACGTCATTGAGACGTCTCAAAGCGCTTCACAGTAACGTGAATTGACTGTATATTTTGTGAGCGAAACGCGGCAGCCAATTACGCACAGCAGCGTTGCACAAACAGTCGTGGATTGAGTGACCAAATCATATATATTTTTTTGAAGTCATTATTACCCTCGGAAAAGTAATCCTA